TGTTGCGGGAATGAGAACGACCTCGCTAGTTGCTAAAGGAAGCAGAACAACTTCCATGAGTTCGACCACAATTAGTGGTTGTGGATGCAATAGGAGTGGAGTTAAAAGACTCAAAGGGAGTGCTGAAACAACTCAATACTTCAACTTTAGAGACTAAATCTGCAAAACATGGGAGAGGAGTGAGAGCCATCTGAGCAGTAGAAAAAGTAAAAATCGGTGATGAGTCCACAAAGGAACCAATGCACTCTATCAATATCCTCAACGGGTCTACCAATGGCATGAAGTTGGTCACAGATTGAAGGTACAGGCATACTCAGCAAGAGGTTTGGTACCACGTTTCATCAGCTGTAGTCATCCTTAAGTCTTAGTTCACGTGCTTTCGAATATGGCGAAAATGGTCACATGTAGTAGAGAGACCACAGATGACAACAATGGCTTCCTCTGTGAAAGAGGAGAGCAGGAGACAAAGAAGTCGTTGTACAGTACACATCAAACTAGTTCTTATATATAGTCGACATTTCAGTACACATCATGTATCCCGATCTCGTTCCCCCTTTACAAGAATAGAACATACATAAACACATGTTTTTATTTTACTCTAGAATTTACACATGTTTGTAAAGTCCATTCGCACTACATTTTGTAGTTATTTTTTCATTGTCTTCTCAATCTTTCACCATGCATCTGTGGTCTTTCCAAGCCTCGATATTTGGTATGTGACACTAATTATAAAGCATATTAGTCTTGATATAATCTGTATTCTCAAAAAAAAGTTCCATAACCTTCCCTTAATTTTACGTATACATTAATAAACCATGATGTCACATCAAAAGTAGGATAGTTTACAACTTCATAATTGTTGATTTAATCATGACAACAACATAATAATCTCAAAAGCTATCAATTAAATTAAATAAAGAAAGATGCTTACAAATTATTAATTATGATTAAATCCAATCCAAGCAAATAACCCAACTTGAAAAGGAGAGCTTTTGAGAAAGATGTATATTAAATTCACCATTGCATGTGCTCCATACATTATAATATAAAGTTTTCATGGAAACATTATATGAAAGGATGTTTTATTCTTCCTTTAGAGTGACAACTTTATGTTTATAAATTATTCTTTTAAATTTAAATATTGTTTGAACCAAAAAGAGATATTGTTTTAGGCTTTGGAAAGAGATTTAGCATTTTATTGTATGAAAATCTTTGAGCCATTTAGGTTTTAATATTAAAAGTGAGGGCCATATCATACTATATTGTATAATTTGTAGGCTTAGATTTTTTTGTCATCGTCAAATCATGCGTGACATGTTAACCGTGGCAAGTGATAGACTCGAAAATCCTATGGTCCTAATAAGAATTACTTTAGGAATTGGGTCACTAAAGAAATTGAGAGGATTTTGTGACTGTCCCATTCCTAGATTTGTTTCTACAATTTCTTTTATTTTAATGTTATTTTAGTTTGTGGACTTCCATATTTAATCTCTTTTGGACTCTAGACTAGAATATTTTATCTCATAATGATTGGATTTTAAAATTTAAAGTTTTAGTTTTTATACTTCTCTTAAGAAACTAAGTCTATTCCCGGCCACATCATCGCCCTCCTTCGTTCGTACCAATTGCAAATTTTCGGTCATTTATCCATGGATCAATACCCTCATGTTGGAGAAGTCGTTATCGCTTCGGGTTTGTACCACCGTTGCTGTCGAGAGACTACATGTTGTTGAAATGATCAACACACATTTTCGTGTGAAGCCATGGTTCACGGAACGTAACGACTCATGTCCAAGATTCGTATTAGGATTTGAAATCCTGATTCAATTCTTGATGGCCTCTACATTCTCCCATGATATGGTTATGTTATTTACTCTTTGATTCTAAGAGTGGAGACTATTACCACAGGTCTGCACATATAGCATGTTTTGTCTCCACTCACATATATCCTAAAAAAATTCTCAGGAGGTTATGCAACATAAAAAAAATTCTTAGACTTACGCTAGAATATGATGTTTTTAACTTAAACGTTCATTTATTTTATTTAGTGTTTCGTTGTGTCGTTTTAAAAATGTTTTCGAACATATAAGTCCATGAAAGTGTTATAAGACAAAGTTATGTTTTATGAAGTTTAAACGAAGTATCTCTGCATTACAGTTGTCATGACGGTCGTTATTCCTAACGGGTGTCCTCCATCAACGCTACTAGAGAATGTTTGCCCGACACGAATGGGGGCCCAGGAGATTTGCGAGCTGACTAGTGGTTTCATACTCGCACGTGTGGACCAGCTGTAGAAAAAATTAGTACACATCCCAATTGCCCGTTAGGATGGTCGCCATAGGAAAATATACCGTTATGATAGGTCTCATTCATGGAATTGTATGTGTTTGCACTTAACACTAATTAGTGGATTCACTTGCTAAGTATTTCTTAAAATACATAAGTCACGTGCTACTTCTATTTCAGGTAAAGGCAATACATCCATGTAGAGCTGACGACAACATCGCAACTTGAGGTCATGGCACATGCATAGGGTAGTTGCATTTATTTTTCTAGACTTAGGCTAGAATAGGATGTTTTTAATTTATTTATTTTATTTAGTCTTTCACTCTGTCGTTTTAAAGATGGATTCAAACATGTAAGTCCATGACCGTGTTTTAAGATAAAGGTTATATTTCATGAAAAAATTTAAATGAAGTACTTCAGCATTCAATGTTCATGATATGTTTACAGTAGTGACTTTAGATTAATTATAAAATTTAGGGTCGTTACAATTGGTATCACAGCTCTAGGTTACAGATCTTTTAGACTAGCCTACGATGTAGGCTTGACATGTTCCATGGTCCCACCATCGATGTCTCGTCACTGTGTATGTCATGCATAAGATAAGAAAATGAATGTTATTGAAGTCTATGCTATGATTTCATAAATGGGATGAATTGTATAGAAGTAGTAGACTTAATTCGGATTACATATTAGTCTTAGAATCATGTCACCTAGAGAGTGGGATAGAGGAGTCAAAAGAAGGGGGCAAAGTCTATTAAATGAAGTGGTATTTTCACCATTGTTTCTACCCAGTATTAAGTTCTAAGGTACAAGAGTTAAGATTACTCAAAGGTAGTCTCAAGGGCGAAAGTGTAGAGACTGGTTCAACAAGGGGGCTGAACTACGTTAGAAAGTATCGTGAATACAAGAGAAAAGGAAGAGGCATTAGATATTGTACCCATAGTCAGCGTACTTTCAAATGTCTTTCTAGAAGACCTATCAAAAATATCATGTCACCAAAGTCATCATACCATGGTGCAAGTAGGATTTAAGGAACTTAAGGCACAATTACAAGAGTTACTGGGCAACGGCTATATCCGCCATAACATACCTCCTTGAGGTGCACCAACGTTATTTGTCAAAGAAGAAAGATGACTTGATGCGTCTGGACATCGTTTACAAAGAACGGAATATAAGGAACCTAGTCCGGACAAGATTTTGAGTCAAATTAAAAGAAGGTTACGTGGCATATATACTAATATTACCACCCTCAGCCTGACTAACTCCAATGGACTATGAACCCATCAAATTGACGAAAACTTGTGTTACGAAGAGAAACCTATAAAAATATTAGTCCATGGGATGAAAGCCTGACGCAGGAAAGGCATTGCTTTCGTCAAAATACTACGATGAAATCATCACACATAAAATGTAATGTAAAACAGGAAAATTAGATAAGAGAAGAATGCCCCGAGTTTAAATATGAGTTTGTCACTTTCGAGGACGAATGTTCTTTTATATAATGTAAGGATTGAAAAAAAAAAATCAGCAATCGCTGAGAAACTCAAAGATTCTAGCGAGATGCCTTGAAACTCGAGCAACCAACCACCCCACCCACGACTCTCAACAAAAAATTCTCCACACGCTCCGACCCTCTTGAACAAACCTGCAAACTGAGAAAAAAATGGAAAAAACAAGGGAAAAAGGAGAGAGCAAAAGAATGCGTCAAAGTCGTTCGTGAGGACGTCGGCGACACAAACCTACAAGTAAAGTTAGAGGGGAGGCGTGTGAATAAGAACCGATCGTGCGGCAGTCAGAAGACTTACCCAAAAATTAAACGCGAGTAGGACTTCACTGTAGCTCGGAACAAGCAAGGAAGACGATTAATTCGGGTCGAAACCAAGCTAGGGTTTCTACAAAGGTAGAGTTCTTGCTCTCGTGTTTATTGCTTTATTTTAACTTTTAATAAAAACAAAACAGTTTCTAACGCTTCAGCTATATGGATGAAGAGTTCATTCCCTTCCGTTGGAGTCGTAAGAAAAGTCCCTGATAACTTATTAAGATAAGGATACTATGAGAGTCATCCAATGTGGCAGGAGCATCGATAACCATTTTAATTTTATTACAAATTTAAAGAAAGTAATAAACATGAAAGCAATAGCTCTACTTAAAAAAATTTCTACATTTCATGGGATCTTCTAATATATCTAATATATTAAGAAAAAAAACGAAGGTGATTCAAATTTTATGCATCTATACACTAAAATATTATGTCATTGAAGTCTTGGCGTTTCATTTTAGTCTTTTATCTTTCAATTGAACTTGTCAAAAATCTAACATTAGTCTAAAAATATGTGGAGAATTGATTGACCAAATAATATTCGGATAATAATGTGAAACATAAAAGGGAGACACATTAATCTCACACATTTCATCTAACTTCGATTCTTTTTCATTCCCCTTCAAACCTTCCAACTACAAACCTACAATACACAACTATTTTAGTTCCTATCACTTACCACTTCTTTCATTTGGGTCCTCACCATTTACAATATATTTAAATCTTTAATCAACTTTAATCTATGATTATTTAAAAATTCAGATCATTTTCTCTTATGGATAATGTGTTATTAACTTTCCTACACGACATCAAATTAAGACCATAATTTTTTATTTTTATTTTTTTTTCTTTTACTAGCTATAAATAAATAAATAAACTAATACAAATTTGGGGCTAAAGGAATAGATTCGGAGCTGGCATTAAAATACATCTATCCGAGTACGAAACATTACAAAAATATCTTCAGCTCTAAGATAATAGAGTATGATGAAAATCAAATATTCCAGAAAAGGATTCGCCATTCCATTTTTAATACCTCGTACGGCTCCTTACCCTGCTGCAATATTTGCCTCACGTTATCATCATGTTATCCAAATACATTCCAACTGATTATCGAATAAGGACGAATAATGAGGCTAAGGAAGCATTACCTTGGTGAACGGGAATGTGAGCGAGAATGGCTTCGAGAACGAGAACGAGATCGAGATCGAGACCGAGAATAATATCTCCGAGAACCTCTACTCCTACTCCTACTCCTACTCCGACTGTATCTTCTGCAATAAGTAGCAATCAAATCATCCACAAGTCAAGACCTTAAATAAACATCAAGGTCTCAAAGTAGTGTTAATTGCTCCCAGATTTAAAAAATCTAAATCATTTGGTTAAAACTTCAAATATAACTTACCTTCGTGGTGAACGACTGTAGCTTCTGCTGCGGCTCCGACGCCTATGGCTATTTAATCGGCTGGTTTCCGCCAGTTTTTCCAGTCTCTGACGCTCCTGCTCTCTCTTTTTAGCCATTTCCGCAGCTGTATCTTTCTTAACTGCATGGGTCGTCCAATAGTTCAACCATAAATGCCAGAGAAGATATTAAGAGATCTTGAAATAAAGATGATTCTCTCCCAAACATTAAGAAGAGAAGAAGGTTCAAAAGACATAAGGACATCTACTCATCTCCATTGATTGATATTAAAATGTTCAAGAGAGAAGCTGTCCTAAAAGCTCCTTCACAATGAAAACACAAATCCATTGGCACTTACTTTGTTTATTAAGTTGTTGACTCATGATCCTCTTAAGTCGTTCTTGGGGAGTTTCTTTCTTTTCTCCCAGCTTTAGAGGTCCCCCGGAAGAACTTCCCTTAGTTAACTTTGCAAGTGCTGACGACGTACTGCTCAAGCAAATAAATGTCCATAAATATTGTACAAAAACTTCAATGCTCATAGTTACTGTACGAGGACTCAAACGCCCGTACTTATTAGACAAGGACTCAAATGTTCATAAATAATGTACAAGGACTTAATGCCCATAAGTATTTTAAAAAGTTAACTTTATACATGCAAAAGGCACCAAACATGAGTATTGGAAGTTCATCAGCCTCAGTGCACAGGACTTGAAACTAAAGTAGATTCAGACTGTATAGATACCTTACTGGTGGTTTTACCGCTCTGCTGCTCTTTTCATTATCAAGTGTCATGCCAGACGCTGGGTCAATATGCAATGCCTCGAGTATACGACCAGATGATGGCCTGCATGAAAGCACAGGGGTCAGACATGCTCATTTTAAGAGTTTCATGCACATTTTCTAGTGATTATGCTAAAATCCATTTTAGGGGAATATCTGAGCTTCAAAAAGGAAGCCTCCTTCCATCTTGCTGTGGCAGTTACGCTGAAAATCCTAGGCCTGATGTTATACTAAACCACACAAGTTGGTCTCGGGAAACAAAATGGGAGAAAGCTGCAGCACAGTAAAGATTGTCCAATCTATCTTCACAAGAATGAAAGGTCGAGTGCTCCGACCGGTTTAACATATCAGGCTGAGATGGAGGAGATTGTGGTGGAGATAGTCCTTCTAGCCTTGGTTCCTTGCTTTCGCCAGGGCCTCCAAATTCGGTGATAAATTCAATTTTGGGAGTCCTTGGTTTGTTCCGATGAACATCATCAGAATGCCCTCGAGAATGACGCCTTGAGTGTGATGGGGAATGTGATCTGGACCTTGATCTGCAGAACAATATAACATAGTAGTAATTTAGAAAATCAATTTTTATCCTTAGAATCCACAAACCCTGCTAAGAAACTTAGATAAAAATACATACCTTCTAGAACGTGGATAAGCATCATAAGTTGGACTTCGTCTAGATTCTCTGCACATGAAAATAGAACGCGAGGTTATTGATCATAAAAAGGCAACTGACATACTATACCAGTTAAAAATAAAAGTGAATTTTTATCCAATCCATCACACAAAAAAAAAAAAGTATCTATACCTGTAAGGATCATGATGAAGGACTCTGGCACCAGTAACTCGTGCAGATTCTCTTTCCCTTTCCCGTTCCATTTGAGATGCTTTCCTTCTTTCCTTGCGACTTAGCTTCCTCTAAGAGTTTCAGATTTTAGGTTTATGAGACATTTGACTATCAGGGAGCTCAAACAAATATGTGGTATTTTTTGAATCCTGATAGGAGGAACTTACTATTGCAGGATCGCCTTTGATTATTTCCTTTTGCCTCTTTTCTTCCTCCTTAGCCTTTTTATCCATGTAAACAAGCCAACCATATCTTTTTACACCAAAGTCTTTTGCCATTACCTCCATTCCTTCATCATTACTGTCATCACTGTTAAAAACCTCCTCGTCCTCATCCTCATCATCTTCATCATCACTAGCATTATCATCTGCATCTGAATTTGATTCCTCCTTCCCATCCGCCTCATACGAAAATCCCACTTGTGAGTATGACCCCTTGCTTGCAGCAGTAGGAGGCTGTGGTTGCTGAGATCTTCACATATACACAAGAAAAACCATAAACTTATGTAAAATTCAATAGCAGCAGTTCACCCATAAAACTAAAGAGAGAACAAAAAGAACGGAAAGCATGAGAAACAAAATTTAGAGCAAAATAGAATTTTAAGCCCCAAAAATTGCAACAATCTAATACGTAGCTCTATAAGTGGGAAAATGTCCCAACATGAAGATGATGCCCTCTTCCTTCCCCCAACCCAACTAAGGGGAGCTAAGCACTTGAAAAGCACGCTAAGAAAGGTTGATCCAACTTTTAAACACCACTACGAATAGAATCCTTTAAACAGGGTGCATGGACTATGTTATGGGAGCTTTACTCTTGGAGACCTCAAGATGAAAATGGGTAATGGAGTGTTGGAGGGGGAGAATAGCAACACTTCTTAGATGGAGGTGAGGCCGGAAACCTTGTCAAGGAGAGAAAGGTGAATTGTAGGTTCAATAAAAACAAATCAGCTGAAAGAAACTAGTATCCATGACTAGACTATGATTTCATGATGGTTGGTAGAATATTTGAGAGGCTTTGAAGAGCATGTTAAAGATGGGTGTATGTTGAATATGAATCCTTTGCATGCTGATGTGGCCATAATTAGGTTGTCCACACTTTCTAAGCAAGTGGAGTGGGAAGGGGTGGGAGACTTGTGGCCATTTTTTTATTGGGAACAAATTTCATTGATGTATGAAATTTACAAAAAGAAAAAGGGCAAAGCCCCAACCAAAAAGTTGGAAGAAAGCTTCATTTACACAAAGGCATAACAAGAAAAATAATTTGTTTCAAAAAAGCTATCAAAAGAAGTTTATTTTATCTCTGAGAAGTTAATGGTTGCACTTATTCCAAGTTGTAAACAAAATAGCCCGGAGAAGAAGTATACAAAAAAGGATGACCATTTAGAGAGCAGGTAAGAAGGCTGTTAATCACACTCGGATAGGCTGTGTACCAGCTGAAAGCTGAGTGAGTATCCCGATATCTGTTGGCAAATTGGCAAGATATGATATGACTTTGTGTTTAATGGTTTACAGATTGTGCAGCAAAGTCCATAAGGCCATGTGAGGTAAACAGCATTGCATCCTGTCAATGGTATTCATGGCATTGTGGCTAAGCTCCAAAATAAAATTTTAATTTTCTTTGGATGCAAGTCCAACCAGATCACTTCATGAAGGGGATGAATAGTTGTCAGCATGTTGTCGTCAAGATTGAGCAGAAGATATAGTGGAAAAAGAGCGTCTCAAGTCTAATTTCCACAGCCATGGATCTTTGGAGGGATTTAATTGGACACCATTCAGGATGTCTATGAGCCTAATCCATTCCTCTTTCATCATCAGTGAGGTTTCTCCTCAAATTCAAATTCTACTCACTCACCATGTTTTGTGTTCCAAGATCCTGCTATGGAGATATCTTTATGTAGAGATGGAGTATAATTTTGGGAACTGATTAGCCAAGGTTTCCTTATTCAACCAACAATCATACCTAAATAATGTGTTCAACAAGGAAAAAAGAAAAATAAAGACCAGCCATGGATGTGAGTCTTTTTTAAGATCAAGGGTAAAGGATCAATCCGTAGTTTCAATGATGTGAAATCCATGGGTACTGTTGACCGAGAAATTTTTCCAGTTAGTGGAGAGTGTTGGTTGTTGAAGACCTTCGATTCATAGAGGATGATGGAATTGAAGATCCGATGGTTTAGGCAACGAAAAGGGATAAGTCTAGTGTAGAGAGGGCTGAACGGAGGAAGACGTACAGAGAGAAAAAAAATACATGTTCTATGGTACTGTAGAACACAGATATAATATTAGGCAAAGATAAAATAATAATAATAAGGAAGAAACAACTAAAAATCAAGCCCAACAAAACAGTTCTTTAGCAAATGACGCAACCATTACATCCTATTCACACAGTTTACGGCAAGGCATATAAACAAATAAAATCTTTACCCTCCCACTTATTAATGAGTCCTTAAGTAAAACAAAAATAATGTATTTTTTTTTTTTTTTTTCTTTGAGTGAAACAGAAAATTTCAAGGATGAATGAAATTACCACCAACCGTGGATTACAAAAATGATCTCCAATTGTAAATTAAAGAAGAAATACTGTTTATCTTCAAAAAGGTGTGAACATTTACATCAACAAAGAGCATTAAACAAATCCATAAAGGTGTAGAAGGATGAATGTTTGTCATTGAAGCTCCTTCCATTACTTTCACAACAAAGAGATCAAAAAAAGGAACGATTAAAGGCAAGCCACAAAGTCATCTTGTCTCCCTTGAATGGATGTTCCACCAAAGACTTGATCGTAGAAGCAACCAAAGCAATAAAAAGAAATCTGACAGCAAAAACCACTATATTTTTTTTTTTTTTTTTTTTTTACCCAA